AAAAAGGGTTGGCGTCAAGCTTTTCAAAACAAAAATCATACACTGTTGAAATATTGCAAAGATACCTCTTACAAAAAGGGGGCCTACCAAAGAATGGAGAAGGATGTTGATGTTCCCAACAAAAAGGGAAGGATCACAAAACATGAGTTTGCCACTCACAGCAATGGCATAGTAGCTAATTTAACAACGTTTCAGACATTTCCATATATAACCCAGATGTTTTCTATGTGGTGCCCATTACAAGCATGCACGTTACCCTAAGTTCACTAATTTATCCACCAGCAGCTTGGACCCATGAAATGCAATAGACAACAACGGCGATGCAGATACTTTGTCCTACAGATAGGGGATCTGAACGGACATGGATCGGCTGGCAGAACGCTAAAAAAGACCCAGCAGCAATCCAGCAGCTATGTCCTTACAAAATGGGTCTTTGGTTTTTGACATCTTGAGGCCAGAGATCCGCTTTGAACAGTGAATTTCATATAAAACATCGGGGCTTGACCCCTGCATAATGTCTAACCTTGAGATGGGCAGCTACCCGGGGCATTGGTGCTTAGACCGGTCAGTTTGTACAGCCTACTTTTTGACACCCCTACTCATTTTGTAGGGGGGGGGGGTACACCCCGCAGGTTTATACCTACAAAATGGGGCCTTGACCCCTTAGGGGTAATTGTAAAGGGGATGAACAGATGAGGTTTCAGTGTTTTCCAGGCCTTCTTTAGCCAGTCACGCCCACGACCGTAACCCAGGTTCTCCTTGGCCCTGCTGGAGTGGCCCGAGGCCGCCAGTGGCTTTGAGGAATCCTTGGCGGTCTCTGTAGCGCGCCAACGGCGCTCCTACGTTCCGACCTTGTCGCCTGGCAGATGGGCGGACCGGGCAGTTCCGTCATGCAAAAGGACATCAGTCGAATTTGGAAGCGACTGAAGCGACTGTGTGATGAATCATGGAAAATGTTTGGGACTTTTCAGCACGCATGGTTCGACTTTCAGTTTGACTTTCGCGAATGTCTCTTTTGACAATCCACCCTGGGTTTCTTTGTTGAGGAGAATCATCTAAGGGAGACTGACGGTGTTTGCTCAGTTGCATGCCCATGGTTTGTACGTGTTCCAGAGTTTTCTCCAGGCTAGTGATTTGATGTTGCCAGCTCTCATTTCAGGAAATTTCTAGGCTTCTGACAGGGAATGTGTCCACCAGCAGTTGGTTTGGGATCAATTGGGAAGGAACAACCTAAAGTCTGTGTGCCGCACCTATGTGGCTGCTCATGGTGTCGGGTTGTGCTGTTTTTGATAAGTTCATTCTCCCTGGACATGAGTCGAGCCAAGTCCAATATATGTGTTTTTTTTGGTGGTGGTTGTCGGAAAAACGGATAGGCTCTTGCATGGGATTGGAGAGCTTTGGTCCTACATGACTTTTGGAAGATCACGTTTTGACAAGAAGCTGGATCACTTTGTAAGTTTTTACATTGGAAGCATAAAGAGCAGGATGGCGCTTCTGACGTGCCGGACAGCATCATTGAAAACAATTGCATTCGGAGCCACATTGGCCAGGCAAATGTGGGGCCAAATTTTCTGACAAATTATATATATTATATATATGTATATAGAGACTGGTCAATCACAAAGAAATGCAAGGCTTGGCTGGGCTGGGGGGTTGAAACCAATGTAAAGCTGCTGTAAAGCTGAGGTCCTACCTGGCTGGCCTGTGCCGAGTGGTCAGTGGACAGGCTGCCGAGGCACGACCCAACTTCGAGCGTGTGCAGCAATACTCGAAGATGCGGAAAAGAGACTTGGAGTTTGAATGCTTGGAGTCTGACTTTAGTCTCAGATGCCCTGCCAAATCGGGTGGAATGGTGCGAGAAGAAGTCCTGAAAAAAACAAAAAACACAGCAAAGTTCGAATCTCCGACTTTTATGCTTTTGGGGGAATGGGCGCCAACACTTGGACCCCTCGTGGCAACTCAAACAGTGTCTTTGGGATCATTTTGGATCCCTTTGGAAGTGGACAGCGTGGTCTTCCATGCCGACATGCGCAGTAAGACCTTCAGAAGTGACATGAAGTGGCTGTTGAGTGAGTTCTAAGTGCGGCCCTCAACGCGCCCCCGTCACGGTCCGCGTCGGACCCCCCGCCCTCGGCCCGTCCTCGTTTCAAAAACCGCCCGAGGAAATTGGCCACCCGAAGATGACCTGGCCTTTGCCAAGGCCTGCGGGGAGAGTCCTTGAGAGCCATTGTCGACGGAGAGTCATTCCGTTTTCCTTGTGAAGGAACGGTAGGAATGCCGATGAATGCCTGAAAAATCGTGGGAGGGAGGGGATTGTCCGAAAGCCTTGCAAGCAAGGATTGTTTGAATGGTGGATGCTAATATATGTCCTAATTTGAGGGAGAAATCATGAGACATTTGGTGTAATTACATTGGCGTTGGTGATCACACTTCCACACACCATTTAGAAAGAGCCAAGCTTCTCAACACAACGTGCACAGCGCACATGCTTTTGCAGCACGTGCACAGCTTGATACATCCATCGATGGGCATTCGCCAGTTCCTTCAGTTCGTCCAACCTTGGTCATCCGGCGGAGCCAGGTGAAGGAGTTTGGGCCCAGTTCGTGTACCACGCCGCGCCGGGCATTGTTGGAATTGGTGGAGATATCCATGCTCAAGACCCGCTGGGAGTGCAAACACGCGAATTTGGAGTTGCACGCGTGGTTTTCAGAGTGTGGTACTTGTTGTTGGTGCCAGATACGGCTGCTCAGGTATATGACTTACCATGGGACATTTGACTTGTGTGATTGTGGTTTTGAATTTGAGCTTAGGGAAACGTGAAGCGAGACCCACCACAAGCTGTTCATACAATGAATGCATAATGTTGGAGTAACACAAATGAGAACTATGGAGGCCGCATGTTATTTCAAGCAAGTCGGGAGCTTTCACAGCTACCGATACGTGAACTCTTCCCGTACAGGTCCAACAAGCCAGTAAAACCTAGTCCTTTACCTCATTGACTAGTGGTTTGTATCACTGTATGACCAAATGTAAAACGAGATCCTCGACCTGTTGGGTTCTGTCCATCAACCCTTTGGGTTCTGTCCAGCAACCATGGTGTAAGGGTCGGTAACAGAAAAAGGGAGCGAGGCATGCCGTGTCCGGAAGTTCGAGGCCGTGTCCTTGCTTTGGAGGATCCATGTGCTCCACACCATGCCTGGTGAAGAGAAGAGGCGACTGAAAGAGCCACTCGGCGTGAGTCAGAGGTCCGCAGTGCACGCCTCGACAGGTAAAAAAAGAAACTCAGCGTGAGGGCCACTCGTCGGCGTTCAGCGGTTCCACCTTCGAGGGTCGGGTGCGTCATGCTTGGAGGAATTAGTAGACAAACAACCTTCCCCCGGCCAACCACAGCCAACAGATGTTCTTTGGCAGCTGACTACCGGTTCTAACCCAAAATCTGAACAGAGGCTCATGGACCCCTAACCACCCGTTACATCTTCCAGGTCCCTTCCGTCATGGACCCTTCCGTCGAGGGTTCTAAGTTCAACGAAGCTGGGCCAATGAGCCTTCCCAGACCATCCCATGCGACTGTCAGTCATAAACATACATTGACCCCTGAAACCACCCCAATTGATGGGTAAATATGCTATACGTCATAGCATGTCAGACGCCACAGTGAGGGACATATACATACATATACCCAATGCTATAAGCTTGTACATATACTCTCGACTAGTGAGTCCTAAGTCACCATATGCTAAGCCCACACAAGTCCTAAGTCACCGGTCGGTAGTATAGTCATGCATGGCCATGGGATGGTTTGGGCTTGGATGGACTTGTCGCAGGAAGCTTTTGGAAGAGCACGAGGGTGAAGCAGCTGAGGACCGGGCACCGGGGTCGGGGCGGAAAGAAGGACTGTTTGAGGGTGAAGGGCCGTGACTCACCAACGTGGATGTGGATCATCGGCCCTTGGTAACTTGGTAGACTACTTTCCTTTACAAACAGGTGATTTTCCACTTCCATGTTAGTGAGTCGGAGCGTCCCGACTTGGTACAAGTACTGCATTTCAAACATTGGGTAGCTAACCAAGCACTTGGTGCCAATCGATTTGCCGGTTTTTGTATCATTTGCATCGATGTTCACTAGCCTTTGATGACCACGCTTGGACAAAGCCGCTGGCACTTATAGAAGATGTGAGAGCTGGTTTGGTTTGAAGATGTCTGAAGCAGAGTTACAGAGTTGAAGGCGCCTAAAGATTGTGCTCAGGGCCAGTTGGGGTTTTGCGAGATGTGACATGGCAAGGTATTTAACACATCTATGCCGATACACACACATATAAGTCACTGAGTCCCTACACATCATATCGAAGTCTCATGCCGCATTGGATTCCAGGATGTCCCAGTTCTCAATGGTTCAGATTCCGCCGGTGGCGGGGCACCCATTTGGGCCTCCAGAACACTTTTTCCAAGGGCTTCAGACCCTTCAAGCAGATCAGGATGTAGGCAAGCTGCCCAAGACGATGAGAAGGCGGGCTTCTTTTTTGGGAGGTCAGACCAAGTGGGAAGTAGCAAGAAACCCATACTCGCGAGTTCGGCCGCCGCGAGTGTTCGGTCGCTCGTTTTCGTTCGGCCAGGAAGCCGCCCGTGGCCTCTTGTTTGCTGCGGAGATCTCTCGTTTGCAGGGCGCCTTCGAGGTCGGAGACCGGACGCCGCAAGTAGCGGGGTGGTGTAGCCGCGTAACCTGGCCCCCGTTCAGCACCCGAAGCACCTGTGGCCTTAACGGCTTAGATCGGCTTAGTTTACTTTTTTGGGGGGTGGCAATACTTGACACCCTTCGCTGGTAGTTGTTCCTGCAATCCATGCTTATCAGTTGTTCCATGGAATCCATGTTGTTCCATGCTTATCAGTCTGAAGAGCAGGTGCCGTAGGTCATTGGGCCACATTTGGTCGATCAAGTGATCCAGGTAGGTTACAGAGTCGCAGAGAAAGTTCACACATTGGTTCAGACATCTGGAGCATGCCGTCTTTCTGAGTGAGCATGATGCCCCATGTTTTGTTCCAAAGAATGCCCCAAATCTGTGCACGGCTTTGGAAAGACTATGCATATCAATGTCAATGCTTATCGTGTTTTTCTTGCTGGGCCTTTCCACCAATGTGGACGCCAAGTGCAGTCTTTGTGGGTGTATTTCAGTGTGAGGGAGACTGTCGTACAGGTTTCAGCGGATGTTTTCGCGCACGAAGAGATGAAGAATGGCGCACGAAGAGATGATACTTATGGTTATTATTTATGGCCTATAGATGTCTATAGCTATAGCCATATGAGTCATATGAGCCTCTTCACCTCTTCAATCAACTCTTGGCGGGCTCAATTTATGCGGCCATTCTTCGTTCACGCAGCTCACGAGCTTTCAGGCCCATGTCGACATGCCGACCACTCATGAAGCGAACCCGCATGTTGGGTTCACCGGCGACCGGAGGAAGAAAGACAGCAACCATATCAGATACCCTCCGCCCCAAACTGAACACACCTCCCCACGCACAGCAGCTGCAGCTTTGTTTCGCACAGCAGCTGCTGCTTCAGGTACAGTCAAACGGTCGCTGCTTCTCCCCTGGCCGTCACGCCATGGGAAGTCCCGACTCCGAGTCTGAGAAGTCCTGGAAATCCGAGGATGCCGACCCCAGAGGCCCCAACCGAGGCCGTGCCCACCCATTGGCCGCGGCGGCCGCGGCCGCGGCGGCGTCGGTGGGGCCGCTGCCTGCGGCTGGTCGAGGTCTTTCGGCTGAGAGGGTTGGATTCTTTGGGGGGAACCGTTTGGCAATGAGTCCATTTGAGCAAAAACAGTGGTCGAGTAAGTACAGCGGAAGCACTATCGTAAGCAGACCCTTACGCGCAGGTTTTTAATCAGACCTTTTGGTCCACGCTCATTTGCAGTCGGATGGAGGTTGGGCAAAGCTTTAGCGGTGTTGGGGGTTGTGACGAATTGCTGGTCATTACACAACTGCAGCAGCGGATGTGTTTTTCAATTGCTCCTGTGGTGTTCAGACAGGACATCACGGGACTATATAATTAATTATATATAAATAGATCTAAATAGTAACTATAACTATACTAGAACAATGACAATGAGTCACTTACCCGTTTGACCCTTTTCGTAGCAGATGCGTAGACACAGATTCCAGATGGTTGCCAAACTGCGTCGGGTGCCAGCAATCTTCACCACCTAGAAATCGCAAGAGGTGCTTCGAAGCCACCTCCGATGTGAGGAATGGGCACCGTGCTTCCCTCATGTGCACAGAAGAAGCTGAATGGCCACAGCCGCTAGGATGGGACGGTTCTGAGCGTGATGAAGCGAACCGAATCACCCTAGCCTAGTGTATAGGAACATATTCCTTAAGGTGTTTTTGTTACCTCCTCAGATTGGCGGGTAAACAGCCACACCCCGAACACCTCACGGCATTTCCCACCAAAGACAAAAATAGGTGAACATGTCATCACCCATCCTCATTCACCATGCACCAGGATGTTTGGATGTTTCTTCAGATGGAGACGATGAATCAAACCCGTGCGATCCGACGGACCGGCCCCGGGCGTTGGGCAGCGCGGCAGAGGAAAATGGCAACCATGGAAACGTCAAGTCTAAGGGCCTAAGGGTCAATGTTGCTTTGCGGTGAGGGAAATGAGCTCAAGAGACTCCACTGTCCCAAGCTCAGAGACTCCACTGTTTTTGTCTAGTTGCTAATTGCTTCAGCCTGCGTCCTCAGCCTGAGGCCGCTTGGAGCCGGTGAGAAATGTCTACAATGGACGTGACCCCTATTTGCCTCCAGATGGGGGCGCGAACCCCTACCCTTCTC